TGGCCCCATGTGACAGAATAGAACTGCCCCATAGGATTTTCTTGGCTGTAATCTGTTTTTTTTTTTAAACTTCATTGTTTCAATATCGTGAAATAAAAGTACTAAACATTGTGCAAGTTTTTTACTACATGAAGAGGGAATAGTACATTTGTGTTTTTACCAGAATCTGTATCACCTGGCACTAGCCACTATACTAACGGCTTTACACAGAGATTTTTTAAAATTAATTGTGAGATTTTATCATGAATAAAAAAACTTACAACTCTTTTCCGTTGCAGATTTACCTTTACCTTGATATTCCTATTAAGCTGCTTTGGAGAACCGTTAATAAATATAAAATCGCCTTTAGCCTAGATTGCTGAGTAGGTAATCTTATTTCACATTGGTCGAGGTCTCCTATGCTGGCATCCCAAAGACACCATGTACTTATCTGGGATAAGAAAACATGTGGTCTCAATAGCCCTCTTCCTGTTTAGAAAGGCAAGCGACCAAGTCCTGAAAAGTTCAGATCAGAATAGATAATGGTTAACAGTAATTCATGGAACCCCATTTACATAAGACAAGTCAACAGCCACAGAGAGTCATAAAACTCCACATGTGCTGAAGAAAACCAGTCTGCAGATATTCAGACTGTCTTTCCTACCTCTGAACTGGTTTAACCACATCCAGTCAGAGCAACACCAGCCAGGAAAGTAAAAGTCAACTGGGCCAGTGCCCGGCGTTCAGTTTGGGGCTATTTCCGCTGAGAGTTTTCTTAAAATGTGATGAAAGCAGCATTTATTTTATTGGAAAATATTAAAAAAATTAAAATACTGCTAATTTCATAAAATATGTGAAACTAATTTTGTTTTCATAAATAAATAAAATGGTGTTTGTCTTTTTTAAAAGTTTTAATCAACGTTCTTACTGCTAAAAAAAATTCAGTTCTGTCAATCTTTAAGGATGAATTTTAGGGTATTTAAAACAACATGTTTGGAAAACTGAATCACATTTTTCATTGCCAGCTTTACGCTTTGTTCTTGGTTGAATCATCTTTTTACATCCCAATTATAAACCCTGGCCATATTGATTCTGTGGTAGTAAACTGATCTCAAAGAAAGTCAAAGTCTTCCTCAAGAGAATCAAGATTCTTTGTGGCAGTTGATAAGTTCTTTTCCTACAATGCCTGAGCTTCATCAGCATTGTATCCAAGCATTACCTTAGCCCCCAACCACAGCCACACTTTATCAGTAGGAGGAACTGAAGCTTTGCAGGACAGGTTATCTGCCTGTAAGAATCTGAGCTCCAATGAATTGGTAGACTCCTTTTTCTTCTGCGTGTATTTTAGAATTTCTAAAGTCTTAATTTCTGGTATCTGACCTTTTAGCCTCCTTTTCTTTTGAGCAAGGTTGAGTTCCATAAAATTGTACTTCTGGTATTGTTCATCCAGCTTCTTTAGTACTGCATCTGCAGTCTTATTCCCAGGCTGTTTCATGAAGGAATCTACATCTTGCACAAACATGGCCTCGGGAATCCCCTGGTGGAGCCGCCGTTTGGTCCCTGTGGCCACTTCTCTGAAGCCACAACCACCGTTAGCAGCTGCCGTCTTGGGGAAGGGATTCTTGGCTGTGATCTTTACATCAGCATATCGGCAGGGCTTTCTCCCGTGGAGCCATGGAGTGGGTTCGGACCTCCATCCTTTTGGTTGGCAGCCAAGCACTTAACCGTTAGCCACCGGGGCTCTTTCTAAGTAAATAATTAGGTCTAGTATTTGGGAGAGTACAGTCAAAAATCTTGTTGAAATGAAGATCTACTCTGTCTCAGCCAGCCACTCCTTGGAAACCCTGTGGGGCAGTTCTTCTCTGACCTGTAGGGTCACTATGAATCGGAATTGACTCGACAGCAACGGGTTTAGTTTTTTTTTTGGATTTTCTGTCTCAGATGTTGCCTCTGATAATAAATTGGAGAAACAAGGGCAAAATAACAGTACAATTAAGGGGATTTGTAGCTTTAGGTGTACTTGTGCGATTCTACATAAGAAGTGTTGACACAGAAAAAAACCAACAACATAGGTTCAGTGAAAAAGCTGTTGTAGAACAGCAGACTACAATCCAATCATTGTAAAAAAAAATAAAGATATAAATATACAAAGACAAATTACTGGGAGATTATATCCAAAAATGTTATTAGTGGATAACACTGTATTTTTTTTTCCCTTCTTTTGCTTTCTTTTTTTGCATTTCTAGATTTCATATGGTTGAGTTACATACAATTAATTTTTTAATGCAAAAGAAAAAAAATCACTTAATATATTGATTTCAAGTTTGGAGGATGTTGTGAAGGAATGGTGTCTCCTTTACCCTAATGTGGAGTCCTTATTGTATGAATGTTGGCATGTTCTGTTAACTGGAATTCCCAAAACGCTCTTGTCACCAGAATCACCAGGTATACAGTTTAAAATACCAGTGTTTTGATCAAAAATTCTATAGAAGAATCCTGACCAAAAGTGAGAAAATGTAGAGGAGAATTTCAGATTCTCAAGGAATCCAGACTTTCTGGATCCATAGAGGCTGGAGGAACCCTTGAAACTATTGCCCTGAGATAATATTTAAACCCTGAACCAAAAATATCTCTGAAGTCTTCTTTAAATCAAATAATAGCTTAGCTTAACTAGAAAAGAATGTCTGCCTCGAGCATTGTGCTCTTTTAAGAACTATGTATACAGGATCAAATTGACAACAGCAACTCGAAAGGTTAAACAGGAAGCTTAGGGGGCAGTGGATCTATGTTAATGGAGGAGGAACAATTCAGAAAAAAAGAGGGTGAGAATGGTTGCACAACTCAAAGAATGTAATCAATGTCACTGAATTGTGCATGTAGAAATTGTTCTGCTGTATGTATTCTCAACAACAAAATAAAACAAATTATTAAAAGAAAACAAAAATACAGATGCTGGGCTTCACCATAAAGATTCTGATATAGTAGGCCTGGGATAGTTCTTGGGAATCAAATCATAGGGAATTGGTTAAATCATGGCACATCCAAAAAAGATGAAAATATCTATCCATTAACAATGATATGGAGAATAGTTAGTGACCCAGGAAGTTATTCGTAGTCGATTAAATGAAAAGAGCAGAAATTCGTTACATACACACAAAGACCAAAAGAACATGCCCAAAAATATTAACAATAGTTAACTGCCCGAGTAATGGGATTCTGTGTGATGTTTCTTTTCTCCTTGTTTGTGTTGTTGCATTTTCTAAGTTTTCTACACTCCTCAGGTGTTGGTTTTGTAGTTATTTTAAAATCACTCATACAGTATACCTTATTACCATTATGAGGGTATGTTGCAAAAGATAAAAAGTTGACAGAAAAATTTTATGTTGGATATAAATTTTTAACCAAAGAAGCATTCTGTTTTCATAAAAGAGAGATCTACGTGGAAACAACAGCTAGACAAGGACTTTTAAATTGGAATGAGCACTTGCAAGTGGGTAAAATATTAATTGATTGGGATACATTTTAAGTCTACATCCTAATTTATATTTCCACTGAAAATGCTTCCTTTTATCCATCCTCAAGCTTCTATGGAATAGATGGCATTCCCTGGAGCAGAAGGGACTAAAGTTAGGTATATTTACATACTTATTTCCCACAGAGATCTTTTTACAACCCATCTGCCCCCCTATAGATAGCCCCAGGCCTCCACGGGCTACCTGGCCAAATGTAAATGGTTTCACCTACTTGATTAGTCACTTGCACAAGTTAATTAAATTTGCGTTTCAGACCTATTTATTCAGTGACTGCTAGTTGGTTAGCACTATGTTCTCCAGACCTAGGGATGAATAAGGCTTGACGCCATGTCATGGATTGAATTGTGTCCCCCCAAAATATGTGTCAACTTGATTAGGCCACGATTCCCAGTATTGTGTGGTTGTCCTCCATTTTGTAATTTTCCTATGTGTTATAAATTCATAATCTCTGCCTGTGGTTAAAGAGGATTAGGGTGGGGTGTAACACCCTTGCTCAGGTCACATCCCTGATCCAATGTTAAGGGAGTTTCCCTGGGGTGTGGCCTGCACCACCTTTTATCTTACAAGAGATGAAAGGGAAGCAAGCAGAAAGTGAGGGACCTCATACCACCAAGAAAGCAGCAGCAGGATCAGAGCTCGTCCTTTGGACCCAGGATCCCTGAGCCTGAGAAGCTTCTAGACTAGGGGAACATTAATGATAATGACAAGGAAGCCTTCCCCTGGAGCTGATGCCCTGAGTTTGGACTTATAGCCTACTAGACTGTGAGAGAATAAATTTCTCTGTGTTAAAGTCATCCACTTGTGGTATTTCTGTTAATAGCAGCACTAAATGACTAAGACATCCTATAAACTATACCCTAAAAGAGCTCAATTTTGGTAGAGAGATGAGAATTTTTTTTAAGAAAAAATTTATAAAGTTAGTGGAGCCCTGGTGTCAGCAGTGGTTAAGCGCTTGGCTGCTAACCAAATGCTCCGCAGTTCGAATCCACCAGCCACTCCTTGGAAACCCTATGGGGCAGTTCTACCCTGTCCTATAGGGTCACTTTGAGTTGGAATCAACTCAACCGCAACAGGTTTATAAGGTCAGTAAATCGTGAACTGAGAGCATGAGATCAGAGTGAAGGTTCTCGTCCCTGGCTACATACGAGAGTTAACTCTGGAGGCTTTTGAAAATATAGAGAATGCCCTGTCCTTGCCACCAGAAAACTGAATTCCCAGGTGTAGGGTGAGGTCCCAGCATCCGCATTTTGAAAAATCTTCCCAGGTGATTCTGATCTATAGCCCAGTGTTGAGATCCACTGAATTAGAACAACTTCTTCTGCCTGTGGATGTTTTGGAACCCAGCATTGAAGGCATGCTAGTTGAGTGGACCTTGGAGAATATACACAGACATTTAATGTCAAAAGATAATCTAAACCCAGGAGATTGGGGGTTCAGAGTCAAGAGGCCAGGACAGAATTTGTTCTGGGAACTCGTAAGTGGTTCAGCATGGCAGGTGTGTTGGAGAGCACAGAGCAGGTCGAGTGTATGCAGAAGGAGGGTACACATGCAGGGCTGATGGGAACATGAGCGGTGGTGGGTGGAGTGTGAGGGGTTGGGCTCATTGTGAACAAGAGTGTGTGGGCAGTGGGGATCCAATAGTGGTCTGTAAGGGAGAGGCCTGGCCACACCAGCAGGGTTGGAGCCCATTGTCGTAGCAGTGATGGTGAGAATGATGCAGGACAAGGCAAAATTTCATTGTGTTGTACAGAAGGTCACTATGAGTCGGAGTCAACTCGATGGCAGCTATCTATCTATCCTTCCATCTGTTGTTGTTAGGTCCCATCCAGTTGGTTCCAATTCATAGAGACCCTGTGTACAATAAAACCTAACGCTGGCTAGTCCTGTGCCATCCTCACGATCGTTATACTTGAGCCCATTGCTGCAGCCACTGTGTCAATTCATCTCACTGAGGATCTTCCTCTTTTTTGCTGACTCTCTACTTTACCAAGCATGATGTCCTTCTCCAGGGACTGGTCCCTCCTGATAACATGTCCAAAGTATGTAAACAGAGTCTCACCATCCTTGCTTCTAAGGAGCATTCCGGATGTACTTTGTTTCAGAGACGGATTTGTTCGTTCTTTTGGCAGTTCATGGTATATTCAATATTCTTCGCCAAAGCTATAATTGAAAGGCGTCAATTTTTCTTTGATCTTCCTCATTATTGCCCAGCTTTTGTATGTATATGAGGTGATTGAAAACATCATGGCTTGGGTCAGGCACACCTTAGTCCTTAAAGTGACATCTTTGCTTTTTAACACTTCAAAGAGATCTTTTGCAGCAGATTTGCCCAGTGCAACGTGTCCTTTGATTTCCTGACTGCTGCTTCCATGAGTGTTGATTGTGGATCCAATAAATATGAAATCCTTGACAACTTCAGTATTTTCTCCATTTATCATGATGTTGCCTATTGGTCCAGTTGTGAGGATTTTTGTTCTCTTTATGTTGAGGTGTAATCCACACTGAAGGCTGTGGTCTTTGATCTTCGTCAGTAAGTCCTTCAAGTCCTTTTCATTGTCAGCAAGCAAGGTTGTGTCATCTGCATATCACAGGTTGTTAATGAGTCTTCCTCCAGCCCTGATGCCCCGTTCTTCTTCATATAGTCCAGGTTCTCGGATTATTTGCTCAGCATACAGATTGAATAAATATGGTGAAAGGATACAACCCTGATGCACACGTTTCCTGACTTTAAACCATGCAGTATCTCCTTGTTCTGTTCGAATGACTGCCTTTTGATCTATGTATAGGTTCCTCATGAGCACAGTTAAGTGTTCTGTAATTCCCATTCTTCATAATTATTATCCATAATTTGTTATGATGCACACAGCCGAATGCCTTTGTATAGTCAATAAAACACAGGTAAACATCTTTCTGGTGTTTTCTGCTTTCAGCCAGGATCTATTTGACATCAGCAATGATATCCCTGGTTCCACACCCTCTACTGAATCCGACTTGAGTTTCTGGCTGTTCCCTGTTGATGTACTGCTGCAACCACTTTTGGGTGATCTTCAGCAAAAATTCCAGTTCTACCCTGAAGTACAGTGCTGTCAGTGATAGGATAATATCCATACACCTACAAGGAAGACCAGTTAATATGACTGTTGTTCAAATTTATGCACCAACCACTAAGGCCAAAGATGAAGAAGAAATTGAAGATTTTTACCAACTTCTGCAGTCTGAAATTGATCAAACTTGCAATCAGGATGCGTTGATAATTACTGATGATTGGAACGTGAAAGTTGGAAACAAAGAAGAAGGATCAGTAGTTGGAAAATATGGTCTTAGTGATAAAAACGATGCTGGAGATCACATGATAGAATTTTGCAAGACCAACAACTTCTTCATTGCAAATACCTTTTTTCAACAACATAACGGCAACTATACACGTGGACCTCACCAGATGGAATACACAGGAATCAAATTGACTACATTTGTGGAAAGAGATGATAGAAAAGCTCAATATCATCAGCCAGAACAAGGCCAGGGGCTGACTGCAGAACAGAGCATCAATTGCTCGTATGCAAGTTCAGGTTGAAGCTGAAGAAAGTTAGAACAAGTCCATGACAGCCAAAGTATGACCTTGAGTATATTCCACCTGAATTTAGAGAGCATCTCAAAAATAGATTTGATGCGTTGAACACTAATGACCGAAGACCAGACGAGTTCTGGAATGACATCAAGGACACCATACACGAAAAGACAGGAAAGAAAGAAAAGACCAAAATGGATGTTGTAAGTGACTCTGAAACTTGCTCTTGAACGTCCAGTAGCTAAAGTGAATGGAAGAATGATGAAGTAAAAGAGCTGAACAAAAGATTTCAAAGGGCAGCTCAGGAAGACAAAGTATTACAATCACATGTGCAAAGACCTGGAGTTAGATCCATCCATCTAGAGAGTACCAAATGTGCAAAAATGGTCATTATGATGATAGAATGAGGTTTTATATTTATATATGCTGCTGTGTACCGTAGAGTTGATCCTGACTCATAGCGACCCCCAAGTGACAGAGTAAAACTGCCCCACAGCATTTCCTAGACTGTAATCTATGAGTCAGAATGCACCCGATGGCACCTAACAACAACAACAATCTTTATGGAAATGGATCACCAAGTCTTTCTCCCACAGAGCCAGTGGGTGGGTTCTAACCACCAACCTTTCAGTTAGCAGCCCAGCACTTAACTGTTGAGCCACCAGCGAAAAAGAGGAAGACCCTCAACAAGATGGATTGACACAGTGGCTGCAATAATGGGCTCAAGCATAACGATTGTGAGGATGGCGCAGGATGGGTCAGTGTTTCATTCTGTTGTACATAGTGTCGTTAGGAGTCAGAACCGACTCGACAGCACCTAACAACAACAATATATGCAACATATATATAACATATAAATATATGTGAATATAAAAAACACAATATACGTGAAGGCATAATGCACTATTTTCCTTACCGTCAACAATCACTGTCCGCGAACAACAGACTGAGCATAAGTCTCTGAGCTTTGTAAGCCCAGCCTCTACCTGTGTTCCGTTCTGCTCTCATTTGACATTTTGGAATGCAGGTAAGTCTCACAAGTATAAACAAGGGTGTCCCACCTCTGCGTGGTCCCCATTTCCACCTTGCCATTCTTCATATGCGTGTGTTCAGGGATGAGGGCACCATTGTGATCTTCTAATGTTTTCTCAGTTAGAATTCGTTTAAGAATGCAGTGTGAATTCTGTGATTTCCAAGATGCACAAATGGGTGTGTTTTTCCCCCTTGCAGAACTCAGTGCATTTTCAACCACCACCTTGAGAAGATGCCGTGATCAGAACAAGGAAGCCTCCACGTTCAGCCAGCGGGCCGAAGAGGCCTCGGCTGCACAGTACTTCCAGGTAGGGAAGGTGCCCCAGGTGGGATTGCCTGGTTTCAAGGTGGCACACACCTGTGGCCAGTGAGCAGACTGGGCGAAGACGAGACAATTGACACTCTACTACAGTGGTTCTGAAAATGTGGTTCCCAGCCTCCAGCAGTAACACCTGGAACTTGTTAGCAATGCAAATTTTCAATCCCCTCTTCCCCACCCCCACACCCACTGCCATTGACTCCATTCTGACTCATAGTGACCCTATAGGACAGAGTATGACTGCCCCATAGGGTTTCCAAGGAGCAGCTAGTGGATTCGAACTGCTGACCCTTTGGTTTAGCAGCCAAGCTCTTAACCACTGTTCTACCAGGGCTCCCTCCTCCCCCAAAGCCAAACCAAACATGATGCCATCAAGTCAGTTGCAACTCAGCGACCCTATAGGACAGAGTAGAACTACCCTATAGGGTTTCCAAGGAGTGGCCGGTGGATTTGAACCACTGACCTTTTGGTTAGCAGCCATAGCTCTTAACTACCCGGCCACCAGGGTTCCTCCCTGGAACCTACAAAATCAGAAAGTCTGTAGGTAGGCATGGCTATCTGAGTTTTAACAAGCTCCCCAAGTGATTCTAATGCACACCAGAGTTTGAGAACAACTACTGTACTGCAGGAGTCCCTGAGTTGTATAAACAGGTAACACGCTCAGTTCTTAACCAGAAGCTTAGAAGTTCGAGTCCATGCAGAGGTGCCTCAGAAGAAAGGCCTGGTGATTCTGTTCTGAAAAATCAGCCATGGGAAACCCTATGGAGCACAGTTCTACTCTGATACACATGGAATTGCCATGAGTCGGAGTCGACTCAACAGCCACTGGTCGGGTCTGGACTCTCCTGCATCTCGCCCTCTGTTTCCTGGCCGCCCCCATGCCATAATCTAAGAAATGGAGGCAGGATTCAGAACCAAGGCCAGGACTGGAGGTTTTGTGTCTCACTTGCCTCATTGTAGTCCCAGCCCTGGGTTCAAATCCTCACTCTGTCATTGATCAAGTTGTCAGGCTTGGCAAATTGCTGCCTCTTTCTAAGCTTCTCTTTCCCCTGCTGGGGAAGATGATTGATCTGATTGTTGTCATGATTTAAGTACAGGGTGTATATGAAGCTCTTAGCATGGTGCCCAGCACGTGGAAAATGCTAACAAATGGTGGCTCCTAGGATGATGGCATTTATTGCTAACCGTCAGTGTTCATGGACCACATCTTCCAGTAGGCTTGCCTCTGTTTGTGTAAGGATTAGCTCCATCTCTACCTTCTGCCCCACCCCACCTAGGATTCTGTCAGTTCTGTTTACCTCTCTAGGCTGACAGGCTCACCAGGGAAAGCCATCTCTTTTGGCCCTGGACTATTTCTCTCTTGACTCTATTATTTTCTTATTTTATTTATTTTTATTGTGTTAAGTATATATACAGTCCCTGGGTGGCCCAAGCAGTTTGCAAGAGACTGCTAATCTAAAGGTTGGCAGTTCAAACCCACCCAGTGGCTATGCGGAAAAAAGGCCTGGTGGTCTGCTTCCATAAAGATTACAGCCTAGAAAATCCTATGGGGCAGTTCTACTCTGTCACATGGGGTCACATGAGTTGGAATCGGCCCAGTCCTGCACCATCCTTACAATCGTTGCTATGCTTGAGCCCATTGTTGCAGCCACTGTGTCAATCCATCTCGTTGAGGTCTTCCTGTTTTTCGCTGACCCTCTACTTTACTAAGCATGATGTCCTTCTCCAGGGACTGACCCCTCCTGATAACATGTCCAAAGTGTGTGAGACTTAGTCTCACCATCCTTGCTTCTAAGGAGCATTCTGGCTGTACTTCTTCCAAGAAGATTTGTTTGTTCTTTTGGCAATCCATGGAATATTCAATATTCTTCGCCAACACCACAATTAAAAGGTGTCAATTCTTCTTCAGTCTTCCTTATTCCATATATATATATCTAGATATATCCATATATAGATATATATATCCATATACATGTGTCGTTGTTAGGTGCCGTCGAGTTGGTTCTGACTCATAGCGACCCTACATACAACAGAACGAAACACTGCCCAGTCCTGCACCATCCTCACAATCATTGCTATGTTAGAGCCCATTGTTGTAGCCGCTGTGTCAGTCTGTCTTGTTGAGGGTCCTCCTCTTTTTTGCTGACCCTCTACCAAGCTCTATGTCCTTCTCTAGGGACTAGTCCCTCCTGATAACACGTCCAAAGTACATGAGACGAAGTCTCACCTTCCTCGCTTCTAAGGAGCATTCTGGCTGTACTTCTTTCAAGACAGATTTTTTGTTCTTATGGCAGTCCATAGTATATATACATAACAAAACATTTGCCATTTCAACATTTTTTACATGTACAGTGTAGTGACATTAATCACGTTCATCTTGTTGGTCAACCATCACCCTTATACGTTTCCAAATTTTCCCATCACCCTTAACAAAAGCTCAGTGCCCCCTAAGCAATCATCCCCCTTTCTGCCTCCCTCCTGCCCCTGATAACAACTAATGAACTTTGATCTCTATACATTTGCCTATTCTGGATATTTCATGTAAGTGTGGTCATACAATATTTCTCCTTTTGTGACTGACTGACTTTGCTCAACAGCATGTTTTCAAGGGTCATTCATGTCATTGCATGTATCGGACTTCATTTCTCTTTATGGCTGAGGAATATTCCATAGTATAGACCACATTTTGTTTACTCATGCTTCTGATGATGGCCATTTAGGCTGTTTCCACCCTTTGGCTATTTTGAATAATGCTGCAATGAACGTTGATATACAAGTATCTGTTTGAGTCCCTGCTTTCAAGTCCTTTAGCTATGTCCCTAGGTTGACTCTATTATTTTTGGTCTGTTCTCTTTCAGCTTCTGCTTTCGGAAGGGACATTGGGCACCCATTCAATCAATGGCCCAGCCTGAATCTATTGTATTGACCAGAAATCAGAAGACTGGGGTCGAGTTAGAGTTAGAATCACATTGTTGATAATTATATCCCTTTCCCTTCTGAGTTCTGAACCAATTTAGAAATAGATACAGATGTCAGGTAGAAATCACAATATCAGTTTTATTGTTGGCAATACTGGTTGGAGAACTGGGCTTGGACCTACTGCCAAATAAGGCTTCCGAGTCCTTCTTCCCCAAACTGAGCTTCTCCCCAGCTTGGGCAGACGTGGACACACCTCCCCATCTCTCGTTGCCTCAACTTTCCTGGGTGTTAATTGCTACGCCTGTCTTAACCAAGATGGCTGCAAGAACCAGATGCTCACAAAGGTGCTGCCTTATACGTTGTTCATGCGCCCTCTCCTTCTCCTTCCCTTTCAGCTTTACGGCGGCATTTCCAAGCTGCAGAACATGATGCATGACATTGTGAGGACTGCCACTTACCACATAGCTATCCTCCAGAACCGCACCGACTTTAAGGACAAGGTAATGCTAGCGGCGGATTGTTAATCTCACATCATTTTTAAAAGCCTTGTCAGGAACTTGAGTCAAAATGAAGCTTTGAGTGCCAGGAACTCAAGAGACTGAAGGCACTATGGTTTGGTGCACAGAGCAGGTCAGGAGCTTTATTGCTACATAACTAATAGCTCTTTGTGAATTGCTCTACTTCAATTTTTTCTTAGACTCGACAAGCGCACGCATTTGTTTTCTTCACGAAATGGATCTGAATGATTGCTAACACATTTCACAACTGTTATACCTCTGTCAAGGAGCCCTGGTGGTACAATGGTTAAAGCACTCAGCTGCTAACCGAAAGGTCAGACGTTCGAACCCACGGACTGCTCTGTGGGAGAAAAGATCTAGCGATCTGCTTCTGTAAGAATTACAGCCTAGGAAACCCTATGCGGCCGTTCTTCTCTGTCCTGTTAGGGTTGCTGTGAGTCAGAATCAACTCATTGGCACACAACAACAGCAACTGCTTCCAAAGACCAATCCTCAAACTATTAGTCGTACTAATAATTTGCTTTGTATGACACTGTCACTGAATTTTCACAAGAATTATGTCACTTGGCCATTTCATTTGTGTATCTTTTATCTATAAAAATTAAGATATTAGGCCAGATCATCTTTAAGGACACTCCCAGCTCTGACCTCACTTGATACTACAAAATACTCTGTCCCTCCCAACCTGGAATGGGTATATATGCCAGTGAAATAAAACAGGCATCCATCTTTTGGGATCTGTGAAGGTGATAATCACATGGCTGAGAGTTAATCACATCCCTTTCCCTCCTGAGTTCTGAACCAATGTAGAAGTAGATACAGATGTCAGGTAGAAATCACAATACCAGCTTTATTGTTGGCAAACCTGGTTGGAGAACTGGACTTGGACCTACTGCCAAATAAGGATTCCTAGTCCTTCCCCAAACTGAGCTTTTCCTCCCACTTGTCTGCTGAACAACTGGTCTACCCAGGCAAGTCCACTTGGGAGATTGCAGAGCTCAGGATGACTGGGGGTGGGCAGGCTGGCTCCTCCCAAGCACCTGGGCTGTGTGTGCTTGGTCCTATTTCCTGGTGTCTCCAGTCAGATGGCTCATGCCTGCCATGGGCAGGAAGGAGGGAGTGGCAAGGACCACTCTTACCTCCAGCATGGCCCTATCCGGAGAGTAAACATCCCCTCCCCTCCAAAAACGGAAAAGCAAGCTCTCCCAGGGTTAGCACTGTAAATCCCACATCCTGATTCTCAGGTAAACCAGGCTGGTTGGTCACCTTAACTCCTCATCACCATAAACCCAAAGCTTGTTTAGTCCTTTTATGTTTGCTTTCATTATATTGAAGACCATGCTAGAATAACCCTTGTGTGTCTGTGGAGGAAGCAACCTTTTCATTAAACTCTTCTAGTCATTCTCAAAGGAGCCCTGGTGGCACAATGGTTAAAGCACTCGGATGCTAACTGAAAGGTTGGTGGTTCGAACCCACCAGCCTGTCCATGGTAGAAAGATTTGGCAATCTTCCTTAAAGATTATAGCCTTGGAAACCCTGTGGGGCAGTTCTACTCTGCCCTGTGGGGTCGCTATGAGTAGGAATCAACTCAGTGGCACACAAGAGCAACACTCTTCTCACTGAAATAGGCTACCCAAAAGGAGATGGGCTTAGTGTGAGCAATCCTCAGGGCTGTTATTTATTGCGGAGCTTATGAGGTGTAAACATTGTGCTAAGGGCTTTCAGTACACTATTTCCAGTAATCTTCATTACAGCTTTAGGAGAGAAATATTATTACTCTTAACGTTTTAAAGATGAGAGAACTGAGACCTGGGAAGGTTAATAATTCACCTGGTTTTGTGCAACTAGTAAATGGAAAGGCCAGGATTTAAACCCAGGTAGTCTTACTGTAGAGCCCATATACATAATCCCTGAGAGGTGGTGCCCGTGGGAAGGCTGGCTGCAGTTGCTATGGGAGACTTCTGTTTCCCTGGCTAAGGATGGGGTGGAGCCCTGGTGGTTCACTGGTTAAGAGCTCATCCACTAACCAAAAGGTTGGCAGTTTGGATCCACCAGCTGCTCCTTGGAAACCCTATGGGGCAGTTCACTCTGTCCTATAGGGTCACTGAGCTGGAATCGACTGGACAGCAGCAGGAAGGATGGGGTAAAAACATTTTGGTGACTTGAACATCACCGTGTGTGTATGAGGCAGCATGCATGATGGTTATGTTCGTGAACTCTGGAGCCAGAGAGCTGAGGTCAAATCCCTACTCAGCCACTTACTATGTACTTGCTGTAGACGTTTGTCCTGTTTGTCATGAGGTCTTGAGCAGGTTAGCTACTGTTTCTGGGCTTCCATTTCCTTATCTGTAAGAGTGGGACAATGGGAAGAATAGTGGCTGTTTCTCAGGTGCTTGCAAGGTCAGGATGATATGCTGTGTACGCAGTGCTTAGGACAGCGTCTGGACCATCATATGAACTCAGTAAGTATTAGCAAGTATTATTATTGCTCCACCACCCCCTGTCGGTTTATCATACTGTGGTGCTTTGGGTGTTGCTACGATGCTGGAAGCTGTACCATTGGTATTTCAAATACCAGCAGGGCCACCCATAGTGGACAAGTTTCAGCGGAGCTTCCAGACTAAGACAGACTAGGAAGAAAGGCCTAGTGATCTACTTCCAAAAATTAGCTTATGGAACCCTTACAGATCACAACTGAATATAGTCCAGTCTAATGCTGGAAGATGAGCCCCCTAAGTCGGAAGGCACCACACAACAGCCGCAACAGTGAACTCAACCATACCAGTGATCGGGAAGATGGCGCAGGACCAGGCACAGTTTCTTCTGTTGTCATGGGATCACCGTGTATTGGAGCCAACCTGACAGCAACTAACAACAAGGAGCCCTGGAGGCGCAGTGGTTAAGCGCTCGACTACTAATTGAAAGTTGGTGGTTCAAGCCCACCAGAGGGTTCCAGGGAGAAAGATGTGGCAGTCTGCTTCCGTAAAGATTACAGTCTTGGAATTCCTATGGGGCAGTTCATCTTTGTCCTGTGAGGTCCCTATAAATTGGAATTGACTCGACGGCAGTGGGTTTAACAACGGCAAATTATTATTGATAGTCTTGGGGATGGTGCTGTGGTTTCCACCTCTACTATAGTTATAAATCTTTCCAATCTCGATTTTCATCTTGCCTCCCCCATGCAGTTTTGATCAAACCCCTCTCTAGGCCAGAGCACTGCTGGCTGAGAACTCCATTTGGAAGCCATCCAGGAAACTGACCCTGCTGGAACGCGCCACATCTCCCCTCCTCGGAGATTCTGCTAATTGCCATCTGGCTATTTTTAGTTTCTTCAAAGTATGCTTGGGGCATAAGCAGGGAAGCCTGTCCTGCTGAGGGTGTGGGGCCGTGTGAGTTGCGGGGCTTTAATTTGGAAATGTTTTGACACTTCATTTGTCAGAGCACCGGTTGCCGCACAGTTCTGAGGGTAAGCTGAGCTGGGAGCTTATTATTTCTTTAAATTAGCGTTTTCTCAGAGGAACGATTCCCCAGTTGCAGCAGCTGCCTAGGGCATCCAATGTGATGCTGGCTTAGGCAGAAGGGATTGAGGGATTTGAAGGTTTAAAAAAGTAAATAAACAACAAAAAACATGCAATGCAACCTGTCCAATTGTCAGTTGATATTCAGATTTGCAGAGACTGAATTTCAGGCTCTTCTGTGGGGGTTTCTTCTGTGTGGGCAGACCATGAGTTTAGTCAAAGGTCCTTGAGTCCATTTCTAATCCTGCTCTGAAATTCTGCTCCCACTTTCAAACACTGTACACCCTGGGTAAGTGGGACACGCTAATGAGGCCTAACCTTCATTGTGGATGGAAATAAATGCCACAGTGCAGGCCTGGCTCCGAGCACTGGCTCTGGGTAATGAAACAGCCCTTGCTTCCTTTCCTTTCTTCTAAACCTCTGCTTCTCCCCACCAAGCACCATCGTTAGCCCGGAGATAGCAGAACCCCTGTTCAGAGCTGCGTGGGGAAGAAGAAAGAGAAGGAAATGGCTGATGATTCCTGCTACCAGATGCCGTCGAGTCAGCTCCAACTCATGGCGCCCCCATGTGTGTCAGAGTAGAACTGCACTCCACAGGGTTTGCAATGGCTGTGGTCTTTCAGAAGCAGATTGTCAGGTCTTCTTCTGAGGCACCTCTGGATGGATTCAAACTGCCAACCTGTTAGTCATTGAGTGCTGAACCACGTGTACTGCCCAGTGACTGATGCTAAGTGCTTCGTGTATCTTACCTTATTTACTCCCTGTGTGTTAGTTGGCGATCTTAGCTGCCAGCATCAGAAACCTACTCTGCTAATTTAAGAAAAAAGAAATTACTAAAAGCATACAGGAAGGTCAGAGAACCAGGCTTGGAGGCTACCAGTAACCAGTTGCCTTCAAGTTGACTCTGACTCATGGAGACCCCTTATGGGTCAGAGTAGAACTGTGCTCCATAGGGTTTTCAGTGGCTGATTTTTTGGATGTACATCACCAGACCTTTCTTCCTAGGTGCCTCTGGGTGAACTTGAACTGCCAACCTTTCAATTATCAGCCGAACACATTGACCATGTGCACCGCCCAGGGACTCCAGGCTTGGAGGCTACTTGGTGTTGCTGCTGTGTGTCATTGAGTCAATTCCGACTCACAGTGACTCTATAGGACAGAGTAGAACTTCCCGTTAGGGTTTCCTAGGCTGTAATCTTTATGGTATTACAAACTGGTATTTTGTTTATCTATGTATTTTGATATGTGTATTGAGAGGGCCCACCACCTGTCGTTTTGTCATACTGTGGTGTGTACATGTTGCTGTGACGGTGGAAGCTGTACCACTGGTATTTCTAATACAGCAGTCACTCATGGTGGATGGGTTTCAGTGGTGCTTCCAGACTAAGGAAGACTAGGAAGAAAGACCAGGCGACCTACTTCTGAACATTGGCCAACGAAAACCCTATGAATACAACAGACCAT